CCGCCTGCTCCGTCGTCGTCGTCGTTGTCCTCGTCACCGCCGCTGCCGCCGCTGTCGCCGCCGCTGCTGCTGCTGCTGTTGCTGTCGCTGCCGCTGTCTGCTATCCCTTTTCCAACGTTCTCTCTATACGCACCGCACGCACGCAGAGGCACGCACGACCCACACTTCCGCCCGTTCCGGGCCGCTCCTTCGTGTTCTCCTTGCTACTCGTTACTGCTACTGCTGTTATCTGTTAGTGCTGTTGCTGTTGGCTCGCCCTCGCGCACCGATATATCGCGGTTACACTCGCGCCGACCGCGATTCGATTCGATTCGGCTCGGCTCAGCTCAGCTCAATTCGCCTCCGTTTGTCGTCTTGTCTCTTTTCTCACGATCTTCTCTCTCTCTCTCTCTCTCTCTCTCTCTCTCTCTTTCTGTTCGTTCTGCAGCTTCACGCGCGCGGCTCGCTGCGTGCGATTTGCTAAGAGGAATCTCGCTTTTTTCTCTCTCTCTCTCTCTCTCTCTCTCTTTCTCTCCTCTTCCGTTTCTGAAATTCTATTTAGCTCATCTCTCGTAGCCGCGCACTTCGCTCGGCCGTTGTTTATTGAGTATGGCCGTCTTCACTGGTCTTCACTTCTGATATGTCGTATTAACGCATGCACGCACGCACGCACGCACCGTCCGATCGTTCTTAATATTCTTATACGTACGCGCGTCTACATATTTATAACCGAGCAGGTGTCGTCGTGCTTCGTCCGCTGGCAGATCGTCGACGCCACACACTTTACCCAACTTGTATCGTCGCCCGTCACATTTACCACTGTCGTTGCCGTTGTGTTGTCGGTCGACATTTACTAATACAACATATTACGCTCAGCTGCCTCGGCTGTACGCCGTGCACACGCGATTCTCGAATGCCTGGCAAACACAACGAGCGATCTTCCGCCTCCTCTCACCTGCGATGATTCCCTCTGGTCGGTGCGGCCCGCAGTGGCGACTTTAGTCGCCGGTCTCAGATTCTACGTTTCTACGTAATCTACGTCAGATCGTCAATCGAGCGCCCGCGATTACGCTTCTCTACCTCCGCACCGTGGCGGTCCGTGGCAGCAGACGACTGACGAGACGATCGCGCACCTAGGTGACCTGGGTCTTGGCTGCGAACGCGCCGTTTCCTCCCTTTTCTACGTTTCATTCATTCGTCCTTCGCGTCTTCCTTACTTGTTTCACGCCGGGGAGAGTAAGTTGAAGATACTGTTTTACCTAGGAGGACTTTCCACAAAAACAGGACTCCTGTTTTTTTTTTTTTTTTTTTTGGAGGATCAGGATGTGATGACGATCTGCGTTGCGTCGCGTCACGGCGATTGCGCGTCCCGCAGGTCCCGCTGACTCGGACAACAGTGTTTGAGAAACAAATTATTGGATTAGTGGCGCTCACGCGGTTGATATCGAGCGTGCCGCAAAGTTACGCAAACACACCCGAATATTTAATTAGCTATAAATACGTTGACCATATTTTCTTAAAGAAAATAAAGAACAAGTCTGAAAATTTTAGGGTTTTGTGTTCCTATATGTTTTCAAACCAAAGTTTGTGACTGTCAAGAATCTGTGCATTATAAAATTTTATTGCACAATATAATCAAATTGAAATAACGCACAATTTGTTGATAGTTTGAAACTGTTCGATTGTATTAGAACGAACTCTTGATCTGAAATAAAAGGTTCGAAATAATAAAAAAATGTAGATAATAAACAATTGTAGTTTGAATAAATTTAATTTAAAAAATTAAGAAATATAAAAAATTAACAAAAATAAATTGTATTTATAAGTATGAAACTGTAAAATATTTTCCGTAAAAATTTGATTATTAATATAATATTATATAGACATTTTATTATATAGACAACGCAAGAATTTTCCGTAATTTCAAAATAAAGAGTAGTATAAAGGACAATATTGGAGAATAAAAAAAGGACAAAATTAAAATGAGTTTTGAAAAAACAAATCTAAAGGACAGCTATCTAAAATAAAGGATTGTTCTTTATAATAAAGGACATATGGTCACCGTAGCTATAAATTAAGTAAAATTGCAGTCAAATGATTAGCGAATTGTGCGCAAAGAACGGCCCATTTGCTTTGGGCTGATCCTTTTTTTAAGAAAGATTTGAAATAAAAAATGGATTATACTGAAAAATACTAAATTAAATACTAACTTAATATTTACGTACGATAAATAATTATAAAATAAAAAAGTAATAAATAGTTAATAATTCTTTTGTACCAAATAAAAAAATATATATATATAATTAGTAAACTTTTAGCTAGAATTATTCAAACAAACATATTTACTGAAGTCTAGTACATTTTCTCTTAATGTTTGAATACCGATTTGAAGATAAGAAGTACAGTAGCATCTTGTATCTCGTCATAATGATTAACAAATAACATTCGAGTGCTATGAAAAGTTCGAAAGATCTAATCCATAAACACATAGCCATAATCAGTTTTTTTATTCCATCTTAATCCTCTCCGTAGTCCAACGTTTTTTTTACTGCTTTTCTAGTCCAGCTGGATCATTGCCTATTTATGATTTTCAAAGGGTTTTTGAACACTAAAAACTGAACGAATTCTGGTACACTCTTTCAACATTCAAGAATATGATTTTACAATAATACCATTTTAGTGACCCGAAATATTAATTTTTTTTACGTAATTTTACGTAATCTATTTGGATTATTAATATTCAGATATTAGAATATTTAGTAGTTTTCCAGACAACAAAGTCCAAACTCAAGATAAAATGTTAAAATGTTTTTAAAATGTTTTATGTTTCGTTTTCGAACATACGTGTTGTCTGAGTCACTTTCATGTTTTATCTATAGTATTCTGTTATGTCAAGCTCAAAAACAAACTCGTTTTTATAAATTTGCTATTATTTCTTTTATATGAAAATTAATAGTGCTTTCTCAGTTTCTATTTTTAATTATATATATAAAAATTTTTTAAACAATATTGTATTATTTGCGTGAGCTTCTTGAATATAATTGTTTTTAATAATAACATGCAATATTTATTTCTATACAAAAATTAATGATACAGTATTAGATATCTGGCATATATATACAGATAAAGAGATTGTTAGTGATCAAATATTTCATAAATTTGCACTAATTGAATTAAATTTTAACATTTCGATAATGCTTAATTATGTTTGTATTATATATATGTTTACAATCAATTATTGTGATTACATTTTATTATAAAGCATATATGAATTTATTTATATTAAATATGTTTTATTAAATATATTTTGAAACGTGTTATTTTATATCAATATCAAATATATAAAACAATTGAATTATAAACGAAAAACAAACATTTTAGAAAAACTTTAATGGATATAAAATTCAATTTAATAGTGTTTATTAATATTAAACCTTTAACAAAAAGTTTATTGAATTGCAATAAAATAAATGATCGCTTCAAAATAAATGTTCTATTTCAGTTTTTTTTCTGAGACAATCATAAGAATTTGCTTGAATAATCTTAACTGGTTTATTTTTTAATGCTTTCTACAATATAAAATGATATGCATGTTCGTAAATTTTTTGTATTAAATTGTTTTTTACAAAAATTTACAAAATTTGCAATGTTATATTTCACAAGGCTATACTTTATACTTTCAATTTATGAAATAGAAAGAAATGTAATATATGTAATTTCTTCATATTTTTAATTTTGTTTCATTACTATATTCGATTTTATGATATAGATTAATTTTATCGATCAATTTTATTGATCAAATTCGACCTTTACTTTAGGATCCCCTATTAAGGTATATTTTCACAAGCCGCTCAAACACTGTTTCAGTGATGATTGATGTTTCACAAAAAGTGACGCTTAATAATTCGTCAGTTTGGACCACGTGATCCTTTTGAATGGCTCATGAAAATGTATCTTTATGTTCCGGACTCCGGCCTTAATTCCATCATGCTTGAACTGTGATCAGATTAAAAATTAATGATTCACTTGATGCTACAAATGCTTCGAAGCATTTTTTAATTGATCAATTAATAAAATTCTTTCGATTGATCAATCAAATGCTTCAAAACATTTGTAACGCCAAGTGGACTGATCCTGAGATTGGATTTTAACCAGTCAGAAGAAAGAAAACCAATCTTAAGTTTAGTTAACTTTACTTTGATTGGTTAAATTCTAATCTAATCTCGATTTCTCTAGTCTGATCGCGATTTTAGGAATATTTAGGAATCTCAGAGATTTCTTTTTATCTTAACTTCTCTGCACGGTTCATTTTTTCTCTTTTTCTCTCCAACATGAAGAGAAAAAGAGACCTTTAATTAAAAAGAACGTACCTATTATTCCATCTTTGTTATTCATGGACTGCAAAGTAAGATAGAATGATATTTGTATCGACTTGTGTTACTAAATAGAAGGCAATCTTAGGTTTGTTTTTGCACTCTCTATTCGGAGTCGGAAACAATTGGAGGCTTATCATTTTCATAAATATTCTACGTGTTGTTAACGGTATATTATATATGCATGCGAGAAGTAGCGACTGATATTCGTTTCAGAAACACAAAACGGTAAGTTTGCAAAATCTTTGGATATTTTATTATTGTTTTTGTTACTGAACGCAAAGCAAATTTGGGAGATAATTTTGGGAGATAACTTTCGTCGTCATTCAATTATTATCGTCATGTGACACAAAACCTCTCTAGCTCTAGGCTCATTGTTGTTAATTACATACATTACAAATAGATTACCTACACTGTATATAAAAATGAGAAAGGATTGATAGGAAAAATGATTGAAATGGATGTATTTGCGAAATGATATTATTATAGTTCTGCTATTTAGTTCCAAAGTATCCTTCGCCCTGTTTTGTATACTATTTACTTTAGGCATTTTTTTTATTTTGAAAATACATTTGTTATTTTTGGCGATGCATTTATAATCCTTTAGATAGATGCTCTATTAACAGCATTCTTAATAAATGTATTGGTTTTTATATGAGAATTATGTATGCTGTTGCAGGTAGCAATGGGTACGTTGGAACTAAAGCAAAGTCTGACCGGGCATAGAGGCAGAGTGTGGAGTGTTTGTTGGCATCCCAAGGGTGCGAATCTAGGGTCTTGTGGGGAAGACAAGACGATTATAATATGGGGACTGGAGGGACCCAAGTGGGTTACGAAAATGATCCTTACCGAAGGACATTCCAGAACCATTAGAGAACTGGCTTGGTCCCCCTGTGGTAATTATATCGCGTCGGCGAGTTTTGATGCCACTATTGCGGTGTGGGACAAAAAGTCGGGACAGTTTGAATGCAATGTGACATTAGAAGGACACGAGAACGAAGTTAAAAGCGTTAGTTGGTCAATCTCTGGTCAGTTACTCGCCACATGTAGTCGAGACAAATCTGTATGGGTATGGGAAATAAATGACGATGAATACGAATGTGATGCCGTTATTAATGCTCATACTCAAGATGTAAAGAAGGTATGTTGTAAATTTATCTATTGGAAATCATTTAAATATATATATATATACATATTTATTTATTTTTAAAAAATTTTTTACTTATTCTAGGGCAGAGCAGAGCTTTTTTATCCATTTCTCGCGATGTTTATGTTTTGAACAGCACATGTTGATAATTATTTACATGTTGTGCTTGCATTCTCATGGAGTAATCATGATTGTATAATGTACAGCACATCATTATAATTTGCTATCGTAAATTTTCGTATTATTTTCAAATTGAAACTGATGGAATAACTCTGCTCTGCCTTATCAATTTATAATGGATATTTCATTTAAAGTAAGGATATATGCCTTGAAATAAAAGTTTACTTTTATTTTAGGTGAGATGGCATCCACACGAAGAAATTCTAGCTTCTGCTAGTTACGACAACACAGTGAAGATATTTAAAGAAAATGCAGCTGATAGTGATTGGTCGTGCACTGCAACTTTGTCCTCTCACACGTCTACGGTATGGAGTCTTTCATGGGATAAGATTGGCAATCGAATAGCAACCTGTAGCGATGATAAAACGGTGAAGATATGGCGGGAATATAAACCTGGAAACGATATGGGCATCGCTACACCGAACAACGAGTCTGTCTGGAAGTGTATCTGCACATTATCGGGATATCATACGAGAACTATTTACGATATCGATTGGTGCAAGACCACAGGTTTATTGGTGACCGCGTGCGGCGATGATATCATTAGGATATTTAAAGAGGATAGCGACTGTGATCCACATCAACCGAGTTTTACAATGATCTGCTCGATAAACAGTGCACACGCTCAAGATGTTAACTGTGTTCAGTGGAATCCCACAATTCCTGGACAACTCGCATCTGCGAGCGACGATAGTACAGTGAAAATATGGTTTTATAATGAATAAATATATGTCTATGTAAAATATGTAATTCTGTTTACTTTATTTATACCATTCTTACTTAAAAATGGAATTAAAAAAATTGATGAGTAATAAATAATAGACATTCATTCACAAAATGATTTATCGTTTCCTCAAAATAGTGAGAACGGAACGTTTTCATCTAATTTTTACTTTTCTGAATTTCACAACATTTAATGTAACAAAATTTGTAATATTATATAAAATAACGAATGGTTTTATTTATTTTTTTTTTTTCTTGAAAAGATCGAATCGAAAGGTTTTTTATTTTCAATATCTTAAAAAGTTAATATAGTTTAAAAAGTCAATATCTTAATAGTTTTATTAATATTTATAATTTGATTTTAATTTTGGGATGAATAACTAATAAGTTTAAATATCTGGATACAATATATTATGTAATATCTTTAATAGCCTTGTGATCGAAACATGTCATCTACAGTTATTTTTATTTTAGGGCTGCATATAAATGCTGAAGCGTTTGTACAACGTGGGATTATCTTGCGAGAATTTTTACTTCCGATACAAATATATTAAACAGTATAAAACAATACGCACGATGAGTAATGCTACAGGAAATAAAGTCGGCATACCTTTAAAAGATGTTGTGAGTGCAATGAATAAATTTGCGGATACATCGCTCGCAGCTTCTTGGGACAATGTTGGATTACTAGTTGAACCTACAGAATCAAAAATTGTATCGCATATTTTATTAACGAATGATTTAACCGAAGATGTTATGGATGAAGCCATTAAATTAAAAACCGATTTAATTGTTACGTATCATCCGTTAATATTTGTTCCGTTGAAATCTATTACAACTAAATCTTGGAAGGTATGGTAAAGTTGTGTGATATGATCTTTGTCAAAATGTTATCGCAATCTAATTTTCTTTACACATAATAGGAACGAATAATAGCAAGGTGTCTAGAAAATAAGATTGCTGTCTTCTCTCCGCATAGCAGTTTTGATTCTGTGAAAGGTGGTGTAAACGATTGGCTAGCAGAAGCTTTTGGTAAGAAAAAAATTCATTATTATACTTTCATCGTTAAAGCATTAATATTTTACTATATATAAAAATTACATTTTAAGAACTCGAAAGTAGTAAGCCGATTCAACCAAATGAAGATAATGCGATTTATGGTTTTGGAAGATTATGTACCTTGAAGAACCGGATATCCGTTGATGAAGCAGTAAATTTAGTGAAGCAACGAACTGATTTGAAGCATGTAAGATTAGCACGTGCACGAGATACAGGTGAGATCTTAACAAAAATAATTTATTGCTGGAAAAAGAAATTAAGCTTGATGGATACATAAATATAATTATTATATATTTTACATTATCATTATTATATTTTAGATGGTTACATTAATACCGTTGCATTATGTGCTGGAGCAGGTGTCTCAATATTGAAAGGAATATCTGCAGACTTATATCTCACGGGAGAAATGTTGCATCACGATGTATTGGATGCTGTACATCAGGGTAGTCATGTTATACTAACAAATCATTCTGATTCAGAACGTGGTTTTTTAAAGATATATGCTTCGATATTAAAACGAAATTTGCAACAACCTGTCGAAGTGTATGTCTCTGAAAGTGATAAGGATCCATTACAAACCGTGTAAGCTGTTATAAAAAAAAACATTCACTATATCTCTTATCACAGCAATCGTATTTAATAGCGATTGTACAGTTTATTATATGGAAGAGGGAAACTTTAATGTTTTGGAAATAAAGATCTTTTTTTTTCTTTTTATTCAGCAACGTACTCTAATAGAATTTTAATTTTGAGATTTACTGTAATGTTCTTTTAGTATCGATCATTAAAAGATTGTACAAACAAGATTTAACCAAGGAAATATCGATTATTTCATTCTTTTTTTTCTTCTTCCTCTTGAATTCGCTAACAAGTCTTAATTCCTGGAAAGCATACTGCAAAATATTCTGTATATACATATTAACAATTAGCAGATCGTTTATCACGATTCAAATGCATTTTTAATTTTGATTTTCTCACATATAACTTTGTAGTTTTATTTCTAAAATAAAAAAAAAATATTAATAAGTCTATAAAATTATTTTTCGAATATAATATCGTTTACACTCAAAGAATGAAATGATATACGATACATATGATTTAATCATAATTGATTTATTTGCACGACAATAACAAATAGATATTACTTAATAGAAACTCAATCATTAAATCAAAAAGTAGTCGACAGTCGACAGTCTCAAATTATCTACACAATTTCGGCCACGCATGATATACACGTCCTAATTTAGAACGATTATGGTATACAAGTATGAATCCTGAGAACAAGATATTATAAATCTGAAACCATTTGTTTAACTTGTTAAGTAATTAAAATTTTCAAGACGCACAATCTAACATTAATCCTAGATATTTATCTACATAAAGTACATACTGAAGTCCCGGGACTCTATCTATATTTGTTACCGTAACTCCAGCAAAAATGGATATTTCAATTAATTTTTTTTTCAATCGATGAATCGATCAAGGAATAAGCCTATAATTTATAAAAATCGATAGAATGAAGGAGTTTCAAGAGATATGGATTGAAAAAAAAGAAAAAGGAAATAATATTGAAAAAATCTCGATGGATAGACTCCAATGTGTATATCTAGGATTAACTTAAGTTGTTTTGGTTTTTTTTTTGAATAAATATTAAAATCAATCTTCATAATAAGCTTTTTTGTGTAATGTAATATATTAAAAGTAATACATTAAATATATAAAGTAAAGTATATTACATCAATGTTCGTACAGTAAATAAGGATTGAAACTTTTAAAAACCTTGAATGTTTATAATCTGAGCAATAGGTATCAACTATTGTAATGATAGTATTTTTTTATAATTATCATCATCATTTACAAGTCTGCAACAATCATTCGAAGAAATATAGATCCTCGTCAAATAAATTGGTTTCAATATCAAATAAAACGCCAATAATTGATAAATCGAATCAACGAATAGAAATTTAATGTAATTATGATATAACATTTGATGGTTATTGAAGCGCATTCTTTCATCTGAGTGCGTCAAATTTATCGGAATTCTTTTTGTATTGAGGACAATTATTCGTTAAAGAACAATTTTCTCTCAAAAACTTATACGTTTATGCGGATGATTCCAGCCATACTCAACGTGACACGCTCATTCATACATCATCGAATATTTTCATTTTAGCGGCTTTACAGTATATTTTATATATATATATATTTTTTTTATACGTGGTTTTTTCTTCCCTCACAACATAATAATAGATTTTAACATGCATCTCTCTATGTTAAAATCTAAATTATTCTTGTAACAGTAACATGTACGTAGTTTTTTTTTGGCAAGCGCAACGTATTGTCTTGTAAAACGTGGTGAAGCAAAATAGATGTAACGTTACGTATTGTTCGGATCTGAGCTTTCCAAATTAAGTAATCAGCAAATATTTTCACAAATGTATTCGATTTTCGTTACCCTGTCTTCGCCCTAAATCGCACAATACTTTAGCATTAACACAAATTTCGTCTTTTTTTTTTATTTCTTCCCACGAGACCGTTTTGTCGCTTTTGTCTTCAGTTCGTCGCTTTCAAAGTTTTGTTTTTATATTTCTTTTAGTACATTACGATGCTTTTCCGTTCCAAGGTACGATTCTCTCTCGCCCATTTATATTCGCCTATAGACTTTCGCAAAGTACGCTTATTGACGTAGACAATACATAGGCGACGTTGTGCAGTTCATAAAGGATATCTAATAATTCTCGCGCAAGGTATAAAGATTAATTTGATTGACGACTATGTTACTTATATAAAGGCTATCTTTCAATAGAAACAAAATTTAATAACAATAAATTATAGTAAATAACAATAGTAATAGCGTTTAATAACAATTATTCAAACAACAATTGTACAATATAAATCATGTTATCGCGCTGAAAGACTCTCGAACTTGTATAGTTTATTTTATCGATTGTTTATTCATACGAGTTGCGTAGAGTGTTGCGTGAGAGGAAAAATCAAACGGTTGAAGTGCGACAGAAAAATCGAAAGGAATATATCTAACTAACGTTTACGATGGTCCAGCTCTACTTCTAATATGGATGATTCAAGAAGGTCAAAAGCGTCGTCGAGATCATTACAAAAGGTAAATTGGCTAATCTGAGCTGTCCGCCGTGCTGCATCGCAGCTGGATGTTCCCCTGTAAAGCGAAAGATTAATATTCTCCTTTTTTCTTCTTTCTTTTTCTTAACGGAGAGCCGAGTGCGGCTTCGCGAGATATTATTTATTTTCTCGCAATATACTGGATAATCGAGGCTGAATAGCGCATAAAGATCGCTATTAGGTACATTAAGCCGCCATACAGACGTTGTAACAACGTAACAGCAGGTGCGTTATAAGATTAAGAAGTATACATACCATTAAGTACATGTACTAAGACTGTCTTTGTATTAGCATTACTGGGATGGCAGGTGTATTGTCCGCTGTCTGCCGGTTGAGCACGTTGAATTAAAAGGTATGACGTCGTAACCTCGCCCTTCTCCGTGATAACCGATACCCCGCCTCTCGGACTGTCATAATTGATCACCTGTCACATGCAGGTTCCGGAAAAAAATGTTATTCTAATTAAATCTCTTCCTGTAACGCTTATACAATAGTGTTCGACAAACCGACGAAGAGATCAATTAATGGATGATTAATTAATCTTCCGTCGGAAAAAAAGCTCAATCGGTGAACATCGGTGATCGGTGATGCTTCATAGAAGAAAGGAACGAAAAAAAAAAGTAGCAAAATCCTTTTCGTTTGGAACGTAAATGCGAGAGAGTAAGATAAATCTTCGATTCCGTTATTCGCCATATGAAAGATTTTATGGAATTAATTTCGTATTTAGTAGTGTCTCGTAAACGCATCGGGATACAATTGCAGTTTAGAGTTAGTATTTTATCGAGAAACTTTTCCTTCTCTTTTAATTTACTTAAATAAACGTACGCTTTTTTTTTATACGTAGCCAGTAGCGTGTGTTATCGTGTTTATGTTTTTTTTTGTATTTCGTACGCGGATTAAAAACGGTAGCTTTCCTTCCGGCTCGATCGTGTTTCCCAGTTTGTAAACTGGTGGGAGTCTAGTTTTGAAAACTTTTGGTGAAACCGATATAGCAGTTATCAGTTTATGTCTGTATTCCGCTGAAACTCATAATGTTTCAAAGCTGAACTTACAACACTTCCAAAATAAACGAATCGTATGTCACTCTGTTGCAGAATGAATTTCAAAAACTTTCGGAGAGATGCACACGGCGGAGAAGTACTACAAATCCGAAAATACAACTACAATTCAGGATATGTCGTTAGTTTTATACTAAATGTTGTTTTTGCGTTATTTTCTTTCTCACAGTTTGAGTATCGTTTCCGCGTTTCGGTATATGACAATTTCTTTATCCGCTCCTATTGTCGTTTTAATTTCTGTCCACATCACTTATTCATTCTGCCTCTTAAATTTAAGCAACAGCTTTTTATTCTTCTCACGTCCGTATAGAAATGGATTTTGATTGAATCATGCTGCATGCTTATTACATTTTGCGACGAATCCTGTATTATCCGCAACAGCATGTATTCACGTAATGCATATTTATCGAGAATCTACAATAGATTGCCACTTGCGACTTCAATATTAAACAAATAGTGATTCATGTATCCATTCGGATTCGCGGAAAATGTAATATGCGAATATCTCTAAAACGATTCGAGATATCAAAAATTCTGTCTAGTGTCGCATATTTCATGTAAAAATTTCAAAGATAGTGTTGTGCATTCCCTATATCAGAGACCGAAAACGAAAAATATTTCATTTGCTTTTAGTCAGGACGAAAGCAAAATATTTTATTTGCGTTTTCCTTTGCCATACAAATCAGATATAGCCCGAGTGAATTTTTTCTGAATCAAAATGAAAAGTCAATTATGAAATAAGCCCTCTATATTTAATGAAGTTTCGATATAAGCGGAATTAATAACTGTTCAAATAATTATTTTAAGTATCAATGTATGTACACATTCCTGTATTCTATCAGTATTCATATGCAAATATATATATATATACATATGCATGTTTTTAATGCTGTTATTTGTAAATTATATGTAAATACATTTTATTATTGTTTCGTCGGAATAACTGAAGAAGCATTTTTTTAAACAGCTTTTCGCGTTTAGAGATTTTTTGAATCTCTTAAAAATATTTAGAAACGAGAAACAGCAGCACATATAACTTCCATTAAACTTTTATTTAATGAAAGTTTAGTGTTTAACACATAATATTAACATATTCTCATTTCATAAACTGATCCAACATACATCAGCATTTACATGCCGTTACTACGGTTACATGCCGTCAGCGAATTCCAATGTAACAATGGCACGATGGCTAAATGCTGTTGGTGGGCCACAAAATGTCTAAAATTCTGAAAGTGCAAAATATCAAATTGGTAATACTTAGTAATTGACATTAATATTCATGTTTTTAGCTCTCGAATATAATGTTTATTTTCCTATTTCAGCATGCGTGATTCTGTTAACACAATATCTTTTTTTTTATCCGTGCGGTATAATTATTATTTTCAATGAATAAATATTTTATAGTATCTACAAAAAAATAAACGTGAATTTAATCTCCTACACGAATTTGTTTTCGTTACAAAATATGCTCTCTTTTAGAAGATTATTTCGAAAAATTCGTACAATATTTTATTTTATTCCACAATAATCTATGTGCCTATAGAATTTTTAAGACCTGATAAACTTCGGTATGATATTTTCGAAACTGAAATGTTTGTCTGAAATTGAAAGAATCTGAAGTCAAATAATAATTCAAATTAAAGTTTTTTTTTTTTTTTCTGTGATGTAACTTTTTCAAAGCGATCTTATGTAAGTTTTTATAATGAGGATACACAAAACGGATTATACTGTGTATAATACTGATTGCTTGGATCGATAGGGAGGAAGAGGAGATTGCTGTGAGCGGAAACTCGCAATTGAACACACCACTATTCCGCAGGTTACCGCGGTAATTTTATTTCCTTGTGAATTATCAAGATTTCGTTGCACTTTGACACGTATATGTATACGTATTTTAATTTTATTCGCAATTATAACATATTATATATAATGGCAAACATCATGCATGTAATTACGCATAAAGTTAACACACACTAATGTCCAAAATCAATTGTATCAACGAGACGGCGGTAGCATGATTGCGCGTTTACCGATATTTATGCTACATACTGCATATCTCAACATGCATAATTCTCCCAACGAACGGCAAGGTTAACTAGGTCATGGAAGGAATGCGTGCGACGAGACAGACGGAAAATATGGGGCTAGTAGGAAATACTGCATGTCAAATTTTTCACTCGAAGCTACGGAATATCGAGGCAGGATTGGCTAGCACGGATGCAGTAGTGTCGGAACGGGATAGAAAGCGAATGATGAGACGGAACAAGTATGAAGAGAAATCTCCACGCATACGCGACACGGAAGCTTATGGGATCGAGGACGACAGAACAGATAGATCTTTGGAAAAAAAGAAAGTCAAATTCAGGAAGATAGACTAAGAAATAAAGTGACAGACGGTTGGAAAAAGATTTGGACCCGCATGGATTGCAAAAATCGGATTGCGAAAAGAAAATCCTCAAATGAGAGAAAAAGGTGAAAGAGAAAAGATAGCCAGTGAAAGGATGGAAAATAAATCCATTCGTGTGCGGAAGAAAAGACTAAAAGAAACTTCAAGGAACGTAAAAACGAGAGCAGATAAAAATAATCAGGTTTATAAAATATTAATTATATGTAGATAAATATTAATAATAATATAAGTGAATAATTTACTTATATTACAAAATAAATAATATTAAACAAGCCACGTGGTAAACGTCAAGAACTGAATAAGAGAATTGGCAACAAACTATAATAATTAAATTATAGGCTACACGTTTATCTCAGAACTGTGCTGTAAATTGCGAAGAAATGTCGACCAAGTGAACTGAGAAAAGGTAATAACGAGAAATGAAGATACAGTGCGTAATATTGGCTAGTAACATTACGAAACTAGAAGATATCGCGAGAACGACGAGAGAGTTAATGCGATGAACTGTCGGTGGAGTTCGAAAGTAAGAATATATAAGACCTAAGTAGAGAAGCCCGCGAGGTACAGAGACAGAAACATGGTCGTGGAAATAGATGTTGTATGATGCGACCAGGGTTGGTAAAGCATACTAGAAAAAACTTTACGTTGCAAAGGGAAAAGGATGAAAGGTGGGGGATAAGAGGAGATAGGTTTTGAAGTTGAGAAATGAGACGGAGTTTCCGCGGTGTTCGTACATTTAAAAATTCAACAAGGAGAAACGCTTCGAACAGGTAATATTAAAATTAAAAGTTTTTCCTCCTCCTCCTCTGTCTCTTTCTCTTCAGCAAACTTAGAATCTTAGATTTAAAAACTTGCTTAAAACGGGTCGCATGATAAAGTGAGAACGGAGTAGATCGAGTGTGAGCGTAAGTTGAATGGGAGAAGACAAAGAATTATGGTAGAGCGAAGAGAACAGTGGATTTAAGTTACCATCTTTTACGCGATGTGTCCTAGTTGGGGATGACGATCGAAAATTAATTTGCTGAAACTCCTTCTCTTTCTTACTTTCATTTTCATCAATGAATCTATTTTCATAACTTGATAGTAACGTACCTCATGATCGTGAGTCCAGTAAATAACCAAGGGTGGCTCAGGACTATGTCGCACGACGCAGGTCAAGTTCATAGTGCTATCCTTGTTTATGTACATTTCTGGTTCTCCGATGATTATCGTCACTGGCTCTATGAATAAGAACCAGAGAATATAACATGTAACATAAAATATTAACCCCTTCAGATCTTATAATATACATGTATCAAATTTGAAGACATTAGTTAGTTGAAATTATTTAATTCTATTAACATCATGAGATCTGATAAACATAATAATGTACATGTTGAAAAAATAATCAAAATTTTGAAAAAAATTAATTATTTATGAATTATTTATTAAAGCGCCCTTGGATTAAAAAAAATTTTTTTTAACAAGCTCCGATAAAATTAAGTCTGAAGGGATTAAAAATCACATTATCAATCATTAAAAAAAAATTAGATCCAAATAATATGTAGAAATTTAATATTAATCGAGTCGATAAATCATTAACTATTTTAACTATTTTAATTACATCTATTTTTATTTTAATTTAATTAATAATTAATACTAGCTTTTATTAATAAGAAGATTCAATCGGATATCTTGTATGGAAATTCAATATTAATGTAATTAATATTAATGTTTAATATTAATAATTCATAAGTTTGTATTAATATTAACATTTATAAAACACATCGTTACATCAACGGATGGAATTAGACATGGATGGAATTTATAAACACGGCTTGTAAATCTGCGATGGAAATTCAGTCAGCATTTAAATCCTAAATTTAGTTTGAATTTAGATCATATAGAGATTTATATTATAAATTAAAGAACACTATCCTCAAATTATACATGTTTATAGATATATAATTTTTATCCTTCGCGATGAAAAACGTGCATGCGTGTGCGCGCGCGCATGTGTGTGTGTGTGTGTGTGTGTGTGTGTGTGTACAGGATGGCCGTAAGTTTTGGCAAATCAGTTTTGTGTAGATAGAGTGAACTAAACTGAGTCAAAAAGTTCTCTATCTGTTTGTAATGGTTAACGAGATATTAATTACCAAAAATTCACTAAATATTGATTTTCAAATTTTTAACTCAAATACTATCAAAAAACAGAAAAATAGCAAGAGATAAAAATTGCTTATTTTCTTCTTCCAAGAATTTTTTTCAGAATTTTTTCAGAATTTTTTAATGTCATACTTTTGCATGGTATAAATAAAAAAATGCAGTATTAAAAAGTTGATAAAACATTCTGAAAAAATTCGTAGAGTTCTGTGAGAAGAGAATAAATAATTTTTGTCTTTTGCAGTTTATCTGTAAAGTTGATAGTTGATTTGAGTGAAAAATTATTGAAAACCAATTTTCAATAATATTTAGTAATTAATATCTCGTTAACCATGAAAATTGCAAAATGGTAGAGAACTTTTCGACTCAATTTAGTTCATTCTACACAAATGCGACTGGCCAAAACTTACGGGACTTACTCTGCACGCACACACACACACACCCACACCCACACACACACACACACACAAATATATCTTAAAGAATCCAGCTAAGAAATTCATTATTTTAACAAAAATTGAACATTAACATCAAATAAAAAAAAATCTCGTAATATATTATACATCATTTTATCTAATTCCTGAAAATTATCAAGTTATTGTCAAAATCTATTAATATAATTATTATGAATAATATGAATATTACATATGTAATGAATACGTTCACACTATTTATCTTCTGTTTTATTACGGCAATTTTACAGTTATATATCTATTTTAGAGTTATATATGTTTGTTGGAAATGTATTGGATTTATTTATATACGTTAAACTATACGTTTGTATTTTTATGTAATAAGTAGCATAAATCATATGTCATTTGCTTTTTAATTATCATTTATTTAATGTTTACATATTCCATTAAGTGGAAATTAATTAATTAAATTAATTGAATTCATAAAATAACTTCTTTATGACGTTAATTAATCTATGACATTCGTTACTTTTCAGTACATATGTCATCTAAACATATTTTTGATTACATAATGATACAACGTCAAAATAACGAGGGACAAATGATTTACTAGCTGAGATATTAATTTTATTTTAACTATAATAACAGTTTGTAAAAGGGATTTTACATTTTATCCTCGCGCAAGAATAATTATATGATAGACATCTCAAATTTTATATTTTCATAAAATTTTATAATTAATGAAAATTATATTTTATTTGATAAATGGGAACTTCATAAAAATTACAAAAGAAAAAGCTAATTCATGATAAAAAGACATTGCATGTAATATTGCATATTTACAAAGAATTTAATACCCCCAATTAAATTTGTTATTGCATCACCTATTGACTTTTGTTTTCTTTATGATATTTTTTAATCTAAAATAAAACTGATATAATCAAGGGTAGTAAAAGCTTGCAATGAATTTGAATCATAATAAAAGAGATATAAAAATTATACATATTAAGCATATTTGTTAAATAATCTTTTTCTGATATGATATTTCTCATTATTTTTTAGGAATTTCCTAATTATTTTGCTATAATATTTAATTCATGGACGTTAAAAAATTGTAATAAAATTGTAATTTTAACAAATGAGAAAAAAATTAAGATAAATTGAAAAGCCATGTAATTAATGACAAATTATAATTCCATTAAGCAAATTACATTTGGTAATTGTTTACCTATCGTTTGTCATTACTATATTTAGAAACATTGACATTATTGATAGAATAAACAAGCACACAGTATCAGATGTTTCGAACGATAACAAATTGATTATTATTAATGCATTACAACTGAAAAGTTAATATCTCAATTAATTATTTTTAATAATTAGTATTTCTTTTCCTGCTTTATTTATTTCACTGCGTGTTAAATGCTATATCTATACAGCAAAAGAGAATTTATCGTGGTTATATAATAATCCACTTTTATCTGAGATAGTTTCGGCATAGTATTGAAAACCACCAGATTAATTTCTACATAAATTTCGAAATGAGAGGATACGAGATTATTAATATCAAGTTAATTTTAAGTTTAAAATTATGATGCTGATTAAAGTCATTATCGAAACGAACAAGTATGCATAATGATAGAAATTTATAATTCGCGAAATTCACGGAGATTGCAGTCTGTCTGTGGGATCACCGCGCGAACTTCAGTGAGCTTCATGAAAAAAAGATCTTAAGATGGAGGAAAGAGAAAAGTCGATATCCCACTTTCATAAACATAATATTACATTTCTCGATTATATCTTTTTGATATGTAATTTGATTCTTCCGGTCAAATTCACCGATAACGTCAGAGTGAGCAGATCGCGGGGAGACAAAGCGGTGGTAAAACACTTTAGGTCGCGTGTCTCATTGAGCAACTCCACGTGAATTAAGTCATGCAGTAAATCAGCGGGTCCGTGGTGCGGCAAATGCCGCGGGTATATCGCGATGCACGTGCGGTGCACATTAAGCTTCCGGCGGCAAATAGATATAGCGTGAATTTCCGCGTCGTGGCGAAATCAGTGGTTCCCGGGCTGTATACTGAAGAAGAAAAGCGAAAGGGCGATAAAAAAAAAAAGAAGAAGAAAAGAAAACTAACCGACGACGGAGAGGAGCATGGAATGACCTATGGGTGGCGTCGTAGACACTTGACACTCGTATGTGCCAGAATCTCGTCGTTGGGGGTATTTCACTTGTAGCGTCCAGTCCTCCGTGTGAGGAAAATGCGACGCAACGAATCTCTGGTCCGACGTGTACGTCTCGACGCCCACGGTGAGAAGATGGATATCCCTGTGTCTCACCCATGACACCTACAAGAAAAAAGAAACACACGTTGCCCATCCACTTCACGTCCGCAGAGATCCCTGCAATTCGCGCGGATCCGTGCAGCGTGCGCAGCTGAGTCCGCACGCTAGAATAAACGTTCACAGGATTCGATCAAGGGATTGTAGCCGGTGTAATTTAAGCGGATTTCGATACTGTGGACGTGTAAAAATGATTCTTACGCCCATCTGACAATAAAACGTGTCCCTCGTTTTTTCCTGCATGCATATCGGTGATGCGCGAGACTTTTTTCGCCAAAATATCGTATTAATTTATATTCCCAATCTCGACATGTAATTCGGTCTTTCTTTTTTATGTTCCTTTTTCATTTTATCTTTTTATCGATAACATTCGACAGATCGTGTCCTTATGTTTCTTCGCCGTGTAGAAATGGATCGACGTGATTGATTTACATAAACGCAGCGTGCTTTTGAGCGATATTATATTAGCGGAAATGTGAAATGCCGAACACGTAGAATAAAAATGCGTATTCTCCCATAAAAACGGCTTCATTGAGTTTTGTACGCGTGCTTGGCGTACTGAAGCTGATATGAAAAGGGGAAGAGGTACAGGCAGAAGGACGGTAGCGTGGCTTTTGTTCATGTGACGCGCAGTTACGATCTAGTGCTAATGAAAAGCGCATATTCGATTTTAGTTTTAATAGAGAGAATGGAACAGCCGGTACGATTGCATTTTTGCTTTCAGTTCACAAAAATGCTTCTATACTTCTACTATAAATGCTTCGAAAACGCAAGTTGAAATAATTTTTTCAAGATCTGACAATCATATTTCAACGTTTGTTAGAAGGACATAATTAAATATTAATATCGAATCCAACCGGAAATTTTACGAAAATACGATTACATAAGAAAAAGGTCAACAATTTTTTTACAATCAATATTAAAGTAAGAGTTTATTTTGCAAAATAAGAGTCGATATTCATATTCCATCTCTCTGTTACATCTAACTGTAATCTTAGAATACTACAAACTATGTTTACATCTTAAGACATACGGAAAGAATGATTTTGCTGAAATATCTAAAAATTTAGTTACATACAAATTTGAAAATAATTTTGTTGAATCATCAAAACAATTATGTAGGATACTCGAGCTGGTTGTTGAAATGTCAAAACTTTTTGTAGCCTTGTTCATCAAACTTAAAGTTTATAAATGTTATAAATGTATAATTATTTTAATGATACAACAAAATTATTTTCAGATATGTATTCTAGCTAAATTTTGACATACTTCAGCAAAACCATTTTTTGATATTCGTATATTTAAGACAGAAATCCTGAATTAAAAACTACCAGTACGGATGTACATATTATGAAATACTTTCTCGAAGCTAAACTACGAAATGACATTAAAACTGTTTTTTGAATAAATACTTTTTTTTAAATTACGTTTTTACTTGTAAGAGCAAACGAAATGTTTGAAATATATTTACATTATTTTCGAATATGGATATATGTAGGACAAAGCAATCATATCACATAGTTTAGCTTACACTGACTGTAATTAAAATAGTTTAGCGCCCTTTGTCGTTCCGCTTCAATAACACGGATTTGCTCGCGTGCTTGTCGACCTATATTTACCTATCGTGCAGCAACATTAGAAATCTCGCGATTGTGCGAAATATAGGAGGAACGATTTTGTGTATATACGCACGATTCCGCGAACGGAATATATGCTTACAAGCTAAAGTGGAAACATCGATTTATCAATTTACGTCAAACTTGTACGTTTTCGAATACTTTAGCTAGCCATCGGAAAATCCGAACTTTCCTCTTCCTTTCCTTTCCACCATCGTGATTACCGTGTACAATTGGCTACCATACGCGAAAAGTCGCGCGCAAGTAAAGAATCTTAAGCTTTCAGAACTCCATTTTCAAAATGTCAATACGTGCATTCACTTCCAATATGACAGTGTTCGTAAGTGCACAATTTTTCGATAGCGACATGCATCGAACGTACCTTTCTGATGTATTAACTGATGTATGCTGACATATAATAATAATAATATATAATAATCATAATCATAACGCATGAAAATATAATATTTATATATTTTTGAACAAAATATCTCGTTTAAAACTACTAAAGAGTAAAACGTTAATCAACACGTATTCTCAGTGATATAGAAAAACTAGCTTTTTCCACAATTAATTTTATGCATAAAAATTCTTGTATTACGTTATGTTATTAATAATCTTTTATTACTATCCTTATATTAATATAAATTTTTCGCTGAAATTAATATAATTTCATAGGAACGTGGAAAATGTACGTTGCGCGCGCGCATTTTATAAAAAAAAATAAAAAAAATTCGACTGTTCACACAAAGCTGCAAATTTTACCGTTAAAACATAAAAAAAGAAAAATATTTCCTTTCCTCACATTTAGTTTTATATGTCAGAATTTTCGAGATACGATCTACGTATTAATTCGTCATTTGGAATAACAGGTTTTCCATTAAAATTAACGCCCTTCGTATGAGGTCGGAAAATTTACATTGCTCTGTGAAAACGTAATTCAACTACCTACGCATGGATGCAGCAAAGAGACAGATTGCCGGTGAAATATAAAAAAAAAAACGGTGTTAACAAAATAGGAACGCAAGCAAAAACTCAGACACGAAAGATATGCAAAGGGGAATGTGCTTTTTTTTGTTGAAATTCCTCTCGGGCGTGAAGAAGAAAGGAGGAAGTATTGCAGTCTTGCCTATCTTCTCGCGATGTTCTTCATAATAAGTGTCTTGTGATGGGCCAACTTTGTTATACATGTGACGAAAAACAACGTGCGGCATAGGAATATGAAATTGCGCACAGTCAAGTTTGCAACTAACCGCATTTCGTAACTCGTATAAGTTTTGGAACGTCGATAGCCACACGACTCTTTTCTCGACTCTCTCTCTCTCTCTCTCTCTCTCTCTCTCTCTCTCTCTCTCTCTCTCTCTCTGTGTAATGTATTCATAAACTTCTTTTATAAATGGCACCACGACGTCGCAAATAACTGTACGTACATATTTATCCGCCACGACAACTTTAATCGCGCGCGTGTTTTATTTCACTCTAAAGAATACTGTATAAGGATTCATGATAGACATCAGTCAATGTACGTATATGTGCGAGAAATATTGCGTACCTAATAGACAGGCTTTTAATACTGCGACTAAGGCTGTAGTGTTTCGAGTCGATTCATTTCTGGTAAAAGTTTCCGGCGTAAGAGTATCGCTGGCGAGAAATATTTTTAGCACTGACAGTCAATTTCACGATATGCCAGAGATAAAAGTGGCACTCGCGAGCTACTATGTGCATATTACGAAACTAAAATTGTACGTCTCTCTTCGATATTGAATGGACTTAGTTCAGCGTGCTAAAGATATTTTCTAAAGCCTCATCATTCAAATTTTCTCTTAAAGAGCTTAAAATAAACTTCAGAACGGTTCCCTTTACCATTACTTACTTATATTTCACGCTAATATTATTAAAATCGCATTATATTAAACTTTATTGGTTATTATAATAAGCGAGATAACGTTATTAGAATATAAAACTACATGACTTTAGAAAACCTTCAGTCATTATTAGAATATTACAGAAACTCTATTATGTACACATCTCTTCCATCCTTATTCCTAATCTCTTTACCGAATTTAATGTAGAAAGGTAACATTGATTTCAAACGGTTCGAGCCACACATTGAAATTCCAATAAATTTTATCTAAGTATTTATTCATACCACGTACACTGCGAGAAGTATTTGGTATTGTATGCTAGTAATTGCATGGTAAAATAATTACAGTTAGAAACTCCCGTTTTATTACTGTTAGAATGTAATAACAATTTGTATATTTATATATATTCAATCAAAGAAAAATACATACTTGGCATGTTAAAAATGATTATAAATTGCAGCTAAATTACGATTCAAAATCCGCTTTGACGGAAAATAGAATTCTCTCTTTTATTTGATTTATTCCTATCGGTCTAAATTTACTTCACTCGTAAACTATGATGAATGTAACCATTTTTTCTCTCTGTGTACTTGGCATTGAAATAATACTCGAAATATATATATCGTTGCGTTATGTCTTTTACAGAAGTAAATGATTTTGCAGAAACGAGGAAAGGAAGGATATTTCTGTAACTTACCGTTTTGTCACCTAAATTTCGTACTCGACAATTCAGCGTCGCTGTTTTCCCGACGAGGGCTGTCACGTTGCGAGAGACCGAAACATCAAAGTACGGTCCTCGATCGAGCGGCTCGGATGCACGATTCTCCTGTGTCCTGTGATCGGCCGTGCATTGAGTAGGTCCTTGCACTTTAACCAAACACAATGTTGTATTTCTATTTTATTTTGTTAGTGAAGCTAGAATCCTAGAGATCCTTTAACGCTGCAAGGATCGCGCGGAATGTTGTAATTTACATCACTTGAAAAGATCGCGAAGATATATTATCGCCGTTCCATTCGAGCGCATTGGAGTAACCGATAAAAAGTTTCGTTTTCCAGTCAATTAGGCGAATTAACTTCGGATCGGGATATTATACTGTGTCTCTGTAACACTCCCCGACAAAAAGAGAAGAACAATTCCCTAGATAAACGTTTCAAAAGACGCCTTTATTTTTCAAAAGTTCTTTAAAAACTTTTTCAGACATTCGTGGATTCCCCTGTATCGCTTGAAGCAGTATATGCAGCGCGTAATAAATAACAATGATTTATTAAAGCACATCCCGCGAAGTAGTAGTTTAGGTCGTAGAAAAAAGTTGTATTATATTCCCGGGCTAACAGTGTTCTTTAATTCTTATTATCCGTTCTTTCTGTTGCAAAATAACATAAAATTAAACACACGTTACACGCGTTATACGAAAATACATATTATTCGTGTTTTACATAACAGTTTTGCATATTAATATATTTTAGAGATCGTATATGATAAACCTGCAAAAACCGATAATAAATATAATTTACTATTTACTCTCGGTTCTTTGGCAAATGTTTTACAATGAAATGAAATCATAACACACTAAAATAACATTCTAAAAAAAGATAAGTTTTTTTATCAAATCTTTTTTATAATTTTTTAGCGATATTGACGGAAGAATTTTTGTAATAGAAAGTCTTTTTTTATAACTAAAAAGAAACTAGACCTGCAAGATCGTAGCAATTAAAAACAATGAGGACATCTTTCTTAAAAGCTGGAAGGAGAAGAATTTATTTGAGACAGAGAATGTCCGATTGAAAGTATCTAACTTGTACGGCTAATATCATTGGAAAAATGGTACATTAGAAAATCGTATGTTCATTATTTCTTTTATTTTTCTACGGAATCTGTTAATATTAGCAATTAGCAGGAAATTGGCAGATTATTTCTGACAACATTATTTCTTGTTAAACTTGAAGTCGATCCCTTCTTATTGAAAATGTCGGAGGTTGCTATCTCTCCCACAATTTCTCAAACTTCAATATTGAATACCTTAGCAAATAAAACCGGAAAAAAGTTAAAATCTTTTTTAAAATAAATTCAAGTTATATGACGAATAATGTTCCACTAGCTATTTGCGTCTCTGAGATTTAAATCGCGCAAAACCTTTCATTTGCATAATTCAGGAACTTCTGGTTTCTTTATCGTGATGTTTTATAATCAATTTGGTTTTATCTCGTTTTCTCCTTCGAGAAAATTATTTTGCATGCAAATTTCCATAAAAATGTTTATTCTTTCTTTCGTAAAAGAACACGCTGTCTACCACTTTTCGTATTTTTAGCTTCCTCTTATCTCTTTGCCCTCTCAAACCCCCTCTTTTTACATCTCTCTTTTTCTCTTCTGTGATATTAGAAGATTTTATAAAGTTTACGAAAGTATTCCATGTACGTCCTGAATATGAACAATGCATATTTGTTTTTCACTGAATGGAAATTCACGTTTGCACGAAACGTCGAATTACTATATTCAACATTTATTTGTAAATGTAATTGTATCTCAATTCAATATTATTCCGTGATGTCCCCGTATTAGATTTATAAACAGCTATAAAATAGCCATATCGTAAATCGACACAGTGTGAACTCTCCATTACCCGTTTATCAAGTTTCCTAACGTCGTGAATCGTTCACCGTTCACAGCAAAGTTCGTAACTTTGGTCGGATGTTTTCCGTAAATATATGTAGCCGTTTATACACGAACGTCAACTTGAAGATGAGTATATCCTCTGACTTCCATTAATAGTGAAAATGTGTAACAATGCGAAAGAACTTTTTATACGTAACAAATGATATTATATGCATATAAGAAATGGGATATATAAAGTGTAGCATGTGCACACTTGCGCACTTTCTTGCGGAATGAGAAAATTTCGCTTGCGATATCGGTAATGGAGTCTTCGAATCTGATAAGACTACCGTCAGAAAATCGTGCGTTAAAAATAAATGTAGCTCCAAAAGGGTAACTTTAAAGGGATGCAGGTAGTTGCGCGAGTAAATATTTACCTCCCCGCGCTTCCGTGGGATTTGCGCGGTCCCCATATACTCCTTGGTTAAAATACATATCAGAATTTCAACCCTCTCGGCTATTTTCTTCTATGCTCTACAGTTACTTTCACAACAATGTACAGTGGATTTAATTTCTTTCCTTGTTTCTTATCACGTCGCTGTATACATTCAGTTCATTTTGTAGTAGCAGCGACTAATTGCGCGTTTGCTCAGTTCCACGCAGTCTTAAAATACAATCCTAATTTAATCTTAAGCCAGGACTAAAAACTATCAATGTTGGATACGCTGTAAGAACGTTCGTATCGTCTTAAGAAGTGTCTCAACCTACCTAGTCCTATCACAAATGATTTTAACTTTTGAACTTTTACTCAATTGCAACTATTTGACGTAATTTCTTGCGCGTGAAAAATATCAGTTTGTCATTCTGTTTTAAATTTCGTATTTTCATGCAAAAAGTTATCTCATAATATGCGCATCGCAATTTATTTTATTTTATTTTTTTCGATTTATCCTTTCTCTCTGCTTCTACGAAATCGATACAATAAATATTTATCTATTTATTAATAGGAAAAAAGTGAATAAAAGCGTATCATGTTGATTTTTTTAATTTCCGAAATTATTAATTCTCATATCGGTCGTAGCGTAAAAACGGAAAAACAAGAGTTACATATAAATATTTTTGTGCGAATGAGAGTCAATTAAATGGCGCTCGGAGATCGATGAAATTTCTGTCTAAAGAGTAAAAATTCAATACAGCGGTCACCATGGTACCGCTTACTGTTGAATGAACAGTAAGGCCAAGTTAAGCTAAAGGCCGAAATCATTAAATCCATTGAAGCGATAGAAATAAAATTTTACAGTCTTCGTTTTAGTACAATCCTGCAGAAAATATAAATTGGATTGGAGAATACACGTGTAGCGTATCTTTCTCGGTAACATTGAAATATGATAAACAGATATTTCACATGTGCAAAAACATAAAAGAGTTAAAGCTTGTCAAAAGAAGAACATTAAAAAGCTTATACTTCATATATTGCGCGACACAGAAATTAAAGTTTATACTCGCATTTTCAAGTGTTCTTTTATTGACTATGGCATAACATTATGTCACGATATTGCTTATCTCATTACATTACCAGTACATAGGACTTTCGAGTTAATTGCTGCATAAACCCGTATTTTGGACAAGGCTAATGTTAATACTAAGTTATTACGAAGTTAAGACTAAGTTTGGAAGCTAACTAAACCCACTGTAATATACCGTTGGCATTCTCCACCGGGCTGGGTACATAATATTACATTGCTCGGCTTCTCACATGAAAGGGATAAGATATTCAGCGTGTATCACGAAACAGTAAAAAGACAAGGTTTACATGCCGCTCGACTCATACGTGCTTCGCGTAATGTCATTAAACTGTTTTGAAAAGAAAAGGAGTGGTTAACGCGTACTTTACTCTTGATGTAAAATCGTAAATCTAATTTTGTCGCATCCCGTATTAATCGAACCGAAAACATGTTGAAGCAAATACGGTGGGCGCAACGGTCAAGAACCATTTATCGGGTGAATGACCATCGAAGCATATTTTTGATATTTGTACGAAGTGCAATGCATATTTTTAAGAAAAATTATTATTTTTAATTATCATGTAATTATAAATTAAATTTGTTATTTAAGGGAATTTATTGATCGTCCGTTAATTTTATCACAATTAATTAATATATTTTTCAGGTGAAACTAACAACGTACTAACTGTACAATTACGACTCTCAAACGTTTAAGTTTCTGCATGAATCTTTAAGTTTCCGGCTCATCCCTTCTTGTGCTTATCTCCGAAACTATGTGTAAAAAGAGAAAGAAAGAGTGCGCGAAAAACTGAAACTTATTAAAAGCCAAGAAAATTCCTCGCACGTTTTTCAAATCAATGCAAATTGCACGAACAGAATTAATATATAGAGGCTAACGAGCGGAAACGATTTCATTTGCGTGACAAAATTAATAAAATTGTATTACGCAATATTTATTAATATATCGCGATTTTACTAATTTATTGTTCGCGTTATTCGAGATGAGATGAATGTTTACTGTTGTATTTGCCTAAATGCGGATTTCGCTTCGAATTGTACGACGGATGCAGAGATTTGGCGTGTGCCGTCGATGTCGGCGATGTGCAGGTGATTGACGACACGACCGGTCAGGCGATTTCCGAACGCGATTTATTCGACTTACCCGAAACCAGCAGACCGAGGGTCAAGATTAGACACCTCATTTTTTATCTCTCATACTCGTTTTGGAGTGCCGGTCGATTTCTTCCTCTTCCTCGTGCGCTCCGATCTCCAATAGATCCTCCGATAGAACGGGATGGCGATTGCCGCAGGCTTGTTGCCGCAGTTGTAAAACGACCCGCGAATTCCGTATTTTGCACGCCGAAATTGACAGCAACGTGCGCCGGAAAGCGGAATCAGGACGAGTTTATCGGATAAATCGACGATTTCCAGTTTTTCTTGCCTCCACGCTCCATGGCATCGTTACATCGCTACTTCGGACTTGCGAATCTATCCCAACACGATTTTTCATCGCGACGGCACGATCGTTATTTTCATCTCGCGCTCAGCCCGCATAAGTCCGCTCTCGCAAGCCCGCTTAATTCGCTAACAGCCTCGCAGTGATCTAGATTCGCGTAATTGAAAAGCACCGGCGGGGCGTGATACGTGCATCCCTCTGAATCTTTGTTCTCTCCCTATCTTATCGCACTCTCGGTCAAGTCACTCGCCGTGGCCATTCAAAGTACGGAAATCAGCAGTGTTCTTTGGTTCTTCCAGAGGTAAACTCGAGTCTTGATTCGTTTCACCGTCTGTTTTTCACTCTATTTAATTCTCCGGTTAATTTGCCGGTACGAGAGATTAAAGATCAGCATCGACGAGGCAGAAAGCCAACGCTTCCTGTTGGAAGGAGGAATGAACCGCGTTGCCGCAAAGAACCATGCGATCCTGTTTCCTATTGTTTCCTGTCGGCGACAGGCGTGTCTCCGGCGCGTCGTGGCGCCGATCGAGCAGCCGGTCGCGCGACGACGATCGACACGCGGTGATGGTGATCCCTCTCTCTCGCAAAAGGGATGATCTTGGATCGGCGGGCACGAGTGGGCTAACGAAGGGTCAACTCATTGCACGGATTGCCGAGCGAAACTGAAGAGAACTGACAGTGCGTGTGCAACGCGGCTTTGCGCGGCCCTGCGCGGCCCGGGAGAGACGCCCTGCCATCTATCCTCGCCACACACCCCGCTCTCTCGTCCCCTCACTAGGGGTGCACTGTGCGAGGAGATGAGGGTGATATCCCTGGCGCAAGCGTGTATCTCTCTTCGTTTTATCGTCGTCGTCGTCGTCGTCGTCGTCATCGTCGTCGTCGTCGTCGTCGTTGCCGTTGTCGTCGTTGTCGTCGTCGTCGTCGCCGCTCACCCTCCTGCTCTCTTCTTCCCTTTTCCTCGTTTTCTCTCTCTCTCTCTCTCTCTCTCTCTCTCTCTCCCCCCCCACTTCCTTCTCCTGTTCTCTCGTTGCCACAGCATCCAACAGCATCTCTAGCCGGGAATCTGGAAATCGAATACCACCCTCGCGAGATACCACGGCGCCGATTAAACTTGGCAGTGGATCCTATAAGATCCATTCGTGTTTTTTTTTTCTTCCTTCCGATTCTATCCTTCGTATCTCGGTGCTATTTCTTGTCGAGTTTGCGATTGTTGTCCAGTCGATTGAAATATCTCTAAATGTATGGAAATTGTATGCATGTGTACACATGTACATCGGGCTGTTGTTCTTCAGTATTACACTCCGTTTTATAAATAATAGGAGAGCGCGATAGGACGCCGATGTAGAATATAACAATTTAAATAACGTATACTGATACATCTTTTTTACCCTCCTTCTGTTTTTATTATTTCTATTGGAAATTTCGTATCCTCGAAAAGAAACTTAATTGCCTAATATTATAGTGAAAAGAATTGAATATCAAAAATTGTTAAAATATGAATTAAAAGAGCGCATGGAACTTATTAAAAATTATGTAAAACATTGCATGTTCTTCATTATATCGAAATATTATATGTATTAAACATACGAAAGTCAAAATATCTTTTTCTTTTGAATTTTTCAGTATATTTGTTGTTGAGTTTCATACTTCTGTATATTACTCATTTCAAATTAATCTCAAGTTCGTTTTATTAGCTATTAATTAACTGGTTTATTAACGTTCATATGATTGTTTGTTTTTAATTTTCTGCTAATACAAATTTGCCACAGTAATTAATGGAATTCTTATAAATGAGTTAGCGGGATGTTAAGAATGATAATAATTATGTATATGTTTACAACTGTAACCTTGATATTGACTTTTTTCTTTTAGTTCTTTTATAAAATAAAATATATCGTCAATCTTGTACGAAAAGAGAATATTTCATGTCGTTTCAACCTTTTCTTGCGAATTCCTTAAACCGTGAATGCATTAAAGACGAACGATCGGAAGCAGCACGAAAACTTTCGCGACAACAAATACCGCATTTAGTTATGCATCACATTTCGCACTGTCTATATTTTGCTTTCATTTTTTCCGAACACTTCGTGTTTTAGGCCATTTTTGCAATATTGTTTGCCAGCGAAGATCCTATTCCCTTTGCGCCGCGTTGTTGGCGTTACATCGTGTACTGCAATATTCCGCCCTTTGATCACTAATCGGCTTATTAGCTCGATCCTTTTTCTCGCTAGCGATCGATAGTTACTTTACGTTACTACGCTACTTTACGATTTTCGCTATTCTGCTTCACAGCGCGCAAGTACCGTGGCGAAATATAATCAGTCAACAAAAGCTTAACAGACAAATATTCAATAAACAAATGCCCGTTCGAATTAACAAATAGGTTAATAAATTCCGAGAGAAATTCAATTGTGCTTTGCAAGTTTGCGGAATTGTCAGAAAGGTTCGTGCTCATTAAGCGTATCTATTGCTTTGAAAGTCTGTTGAATGTTATCTATATATTCCTCCGCGCTCCGTTCGAAGAACGAAGAGTTCTTTTTTTTTCCACAATCTAAAACGGCGATGTTTAACAATTGTTACAGCGAAGCACACGATGAATGTAAAGCGAGAAACAAAAGAGCGGAGTAATTGTAATTTCTCAACTCTTGTTTTAAAAATGAACGCAAATGTCAGTTTCTTTTAAATCAGAAAAAAACAGGAGTCGCTATGAACTTTAACAGGTGAATATGTGTGTTATTTTCAATTTTTTCCTTATTTACTGACGCATGTAAAATATATAATCATTCAAAGCTCATCATTCATAAACTCAAAAAAACAAGTAATAATCTGCTGTTACAAATTTTAGCGTTTTATTTATTAGAAATCACACACACACACACACACACACACACACACACACACACAGAGTCTGTATGTAATGAAAATTGTTCAATATTATGTATATTTTATATATGTACATACATATAAAATATCATATTCCAATTAGATATATTTAAAATTATTTAAATTATATATTTTTATATAATTTAATATATCTTTATATCTCAGATAAATATTAATAAAATAAATAAAAATTTATAAATAACTTTTTTACTTCATTTTGCAAACATTTTTTTGCTATAATATTTGAATTGCGAATTTTAAGATACCCTATATACATAAATTAATTTTTAGTATCAAAGTAATATTCAAATACATGTAAAATAAATATGCAGAGAATAGTAAATTAAACTTTTATTAAGTCTAGATCTCTATTCAGTAAAGTATATTTAAAAAAATTAGTATATTTCCATACATTATTATTAAAATAAAAATAAATAGAAAAAGAATAAATATAAAATTAAATAAAAAAGTATGGATGCTAAGTATATATACTTATTCTCTGAATTCTTTGGAATAAAATTATAAAGAGTGAAAATTCAATCAGTTTTGAAAAAGTCTGGCTCCAATCTTTAAAATTGAAATTTTATTCTTTAGAGTGACAATTCACTTTAAAAGATTTAGAGAGAGAGTATATAACGATATAATAAAATATGGAAAATACGTACTATTAATTATGCAATTGTTCAGAATGAATTTTAATCGGAATTATTCCCTTATAGAAAATATAATAGAAATATCGCGAATAATTGAACAACATTCAGATCGAAATTCATTCCAAATAATTCTACAATACATGCTGAGGGCACGTATTATTACTCTCTAATAAAAAGAATAAACAAACAAAATAAATAAACGTGGAAAGAGAACAAAATCGAGGCTATGTATGTACAATGAAAATTATTTCTTTTAAAATCGAATTCACATTATTCAGATATATAATCTATCGATAGGCGATTCGATAGTATTCGAGAGACGGAGCGTGTGCTGATAAGTAGTTTTGGTTACACCGTAGGTTATGTTGCCAGGGTTGCATGCATCGTGTGCAATTATAAGCAAAATAATTTAAATATGATATCAGAATATAATATTAGGTAGTTTGTAAGTGGCAGTTCAAGCAGTTATTTTAACTTATAACTTCGAGAAATAACATCGTTTTCAACGTAAATTAAAATGTATTACAAGTAACCTCTAATTCTGAACCAGAAAAAACGTTTTGTCAAATCTGTTTTATTATTTTCTCCCCTGAAGATGGATGAACAAGCGTGTCCACGGTGTAAAACCACCAAATACCGAAATCCATCGTTAAAGTTGATGGTAAACGTCTGTGGGCATACATTATGTGAGAATTGTGTGGATCTGCTCTTTCTAAAAGGTTTGATCTATTTCCATGAATATTTATTATATTTTATTTAATGAAGACAGAGAGTGTAATTTTAATAATACCTACAATTAAATTTAATTATTTAGGCTCAGGATCGTGTCCAGAATGCAAAATCCCACTAAGGAGGACGAACTTTAGAGTTCAAATGTTTGAGGATTCTATGGTCGAAAAAGAAGTGAATATAAGAAAACGTATCCTACGAGATTTTAATAAAAGAGAAGAAGATTTTTCTACATTAAGGGAATATAATGATTATTTAGAGGAAATTGAGACTATAATATACAATCTGGCCAATAACATTGATGTAGTTGAAACAAACAAGAAAATAGAGCAATATAAAAAAGATAACAAAGAACAAATAGCGAAAAGTAAAGCTAAACTTGGTAGAAACGAGTACGAACTAGAAGAAATGATAGAATTGGAGAAGCAGAAAGAGGAAGAAAGAAGGATAGAAATTGCAAAGGAAGAAGTTGAGACAAAGAAGAAAAAGATTCGCGAGAAGGAAGCTCTGATCGACGAGCTAACGTTCTCTGATGCAAATGCCAAAAACATTGTTGAATCGTTTGCTTCTGCAATACAGACACAGAAGAAAGAAGCGAAAGCCTTGTCCTCCGTTAGGGCAACGCAGTTTAGTACAGGAATTAAATTTGGTAATCAAGGAAATCAGAATTACACAGTGCCAAAGATAGAAGAGGGACCTCTCTATTCTTACACGCCTATCTGGCAACAGATAGAAGGTCCGTCACCACCGAACTGGCGAGAACTCCAAGCTCGTGGATACG